GGGGGGTGTTAGATAATGGTTTGGATGAGAATCTGTCCACTGTACCATTGTGGGGGGGGAGGGAGGGGTGACCTTGAAATCCTGGCGTAGTTTCTCGGTGAGGTAGTTCTGAGGCCAGGCTTTCGTCTCATGCCGCGCCCCGTGCGGTTCGACGTTCTCTTCTCTACTGCCGTAAGCTGACTAAACGCCTTTTTTCTTCACAGCAGTTTCGAGAAAAAGAGGTTTTTTTGTCAGCGTAACCATTTAAAAATAGAGTGATTCCAAAATTTGAATTCTGATTTATTCAAAAACTAGTCAGTTTCATGTTGAATGTTCCACACAAGTAGTTGAAGTAGGGGAAATGATCTTTCCACACAAGTAAGGTAAATGATCTTTCCACACAAGTAAGGTAAATGATCTTTCCACACAAGTAGTTGAAGTAAGGTAAATGATCTTTCCACACAAGTAGGATAACTGGTCAGGCTCTCCACTGAGCAGATGAACATGTTGGCTCCAAAAGGAAAAGAAAAACGGCGTTTTGTCGTCAGCTTCCGAGAGTACAGTGTAGCCAGGGATGCTTGGACTATAGAAACATTTTGTAATTTGTTGTTGTTGTGTGTAGAACAATTTCAGCTGCTTGCACAGTATGCTTCCTGAGAAGCTGAGAATGTTTTCTGAGCGTTCTAGTTCTGTGGTCTTCTGGGACAGTGATGGTTGTAGGGGGCAGTGGTGGTTGTAGGGGGCAGTGATGGTTGTCGGGTGCAGAGCTTGCTGTAGAGCGGGGAATGAGCTACATAAATAATAAGTTCAGTTATTGTTGTGATATCTAGAATGGTATTTATCTAGGACCAAAGGAACATTTGGGGCTTACTCTAAAAATGAATGGCTTATGGAATGCCAATTTGTCCCCACACGGAATCAGGCGCTTGTCAATTTTTTCCCGCCTTTTGTAAAATGAGATCTTCCTGGAATGGCCACTGTGTGATCCCTGCCCAGGAAAAGAAGAATGTGTCATTCGTATGTTTTGTTCTTTTTGTACGTCCATATTGCCGGCGTTTGTGTTTGTTCCTGGACGTGTCTGCTATGTCTTCTGGTCTGTTGTCACAGTGGTCAGTGGCCGTATGTTTACCGCAGTGGACACATGTGTCATATGTCTGTGCTAGTGGACACATGTGTCGTATGTCTGTGCTAGTGGACACATGTGTCATATGTCTGTGCTAGTGGACACATGTGTCGTATGTGTGTGCTAGTGGACATATGTGTCATATGTCTGTGCTAGTGGACACATGTGTGGTATGCCTGTGCTAGTGGACATGTGTCACGTGTCGTCTGTGTGTCGTCTGTGTGTGCTAGCTTTGGCTGGGAACCAGCAGCCTGTATAGAATGTCCATGTGTACAGAGATATATCTACACAGTGGGGGGGT